GCGAATGAAAAACCCAGATGAAGAGGGTTCATTGGTTTGGTTCAGGATTTCGCTACCGTTTCCACCGGGTGGAACAACCGTATGATTCTCCCGTACCTTTTCTCAACACTCGATTGACATCGGCGGCGGTCATGGTTTTAGGAAACAATCGTGTAAATTGAGGAAAAACAACATAACCACTTTATTGCACTTTGTGAACACAGAGGTTATTTTTTCAAGTATCTACATAGCTACACACCGATCATGAGCATAAAAGCGCTCTGGTTATCTTGCGCAAACGAATGCGATAATTGTTTTTGAAAAATTAAAACCCTTTCTGTCAGTATCAATTTGTTTCTTTTCCTATTCGCCGTTTCATGCGGTACAATAATTGCTTAAGATAAAGAAAGCGATCAGTTTAGCGCATGTGATTCTCGAATATTACCGGCTAAGTCTCACACATCTTTAATGCGCATTGCGTAATGCAAAACTTGGCAATAGAGACATGCGTTATCAGCCGTTTGTATCGAACTAAGAGACGTTGAAATATCGTTCGATTTCGTAAACTGAAAGAAACCCCAACTATGTCATGCGCAAATTCATGTGACAGAACTTGAGTGTGTTTGGTGATCAAAGGAATTAGTTAACCGTTAGTTACGCACAAGGAGTACAGCTATGGCCAATTAAACTAAACCATAGTCATGGAGTTCGCATTGAATTGAGAGTCTTGTATGAAACTCAAGATGTTTTTCACTCTACAACACAAAGCAGCCTAATTAACAGCACAATATCTACCAATATAGGCACCATACGGTTTATTCCGGCCTGGATATTTGAAATTCTATTTCAAATGATCGCTACAAATAAACTTGCTAAAATTGGTGATTTGTAAGAGGAGAACAAAGTGAGAAAATCAAAAGAGCTCTATGGTGCTTCCCATTTCTTAGGTTTATGTTTTCCTGACTCCGCGTACGACAAAATCCACCAGGTAATCCAATGAGATGCTATTCTGCTATTTGGTATCAAGCAGACGGGTTCAAAGTTGGTCTGGCTGTGTTATCAGAAATCCCTCAACCTGACCGAAATATGAGCAAGAATAAACGCTTGCAATATGCTTCAGGGACGATTGATTGTGCACAGATAGCTAATGTGAAACAACCTGACCAAGACAGCCGTGGTCGAGCGTGTAGTATGTTTACATTCTACCTAGGGGTTCAATTTTCAATTGGATCCATGGCTTCGAAATGCCGATCAGGTTCAACCACATCATATCAGCTATCCAGTAAAGAAATGGAAATTGTATGGTTGCCTCAAAAACAACGTGTGATCCAACAACTCCTATTTGAAATCACCTGGTATTGTACAGAATAATCAAATCTGTCTTCTGCCAAAAGACCGGAATTGAAGCATGAAAAGGCGTCGAATTTATTGGCAAGTCCAGATACAATGCACCCTGTGTGGCCTAACACCGGAACTATTAAGTGCAGTGGTTTTACACCTAGCTGAAAAAAAATCACATGGGAAGCGTGGCTGTGGCATTCCGCCCACAAGATTAAGTTTGTGGGTAATTATCGAGTCAGACTCGCTGTCGAATGCTGGTCACAGCATTCGTCTGCACAACTCCTCTCACTGTGTGCCCAAAAACAATTTGTGCAAGCTTCCATGGTTCGCCCCACCCCCACCCCACCCCACCCCCCACATATACACCGTATCACAACGCATATTGTTTGAAGTGTTCAGGGACGTAAAATAAAAAGCCAAATATCGGAGGAATAACCGGAGAAAACATAAATAGAGAAAACCCTTTAAGGGCTGAATTGCCCTGTGTATTTCTAGTTGATTGTGATTATTGATTATACATATACATCTGTTAATAATATTAATGAAAATTAAGCAAGGATCAGTTGATTGATTGTCTCTACCGTTATACTTAAGGAAAGCGAACAGAGAACGGTACTCGAACAACACCGTTTGGCATCATTTCTATTTGCGTGGTGGTCTCGCGAAGTATTTATGCTTAAGATCTCAACCCACACACCCTAAATGCGCATCACGAAGGAAGATCTCATAATTCATACGCCGAAAAGGATCACAGGCCAGAAACTATCGTACTACAAATATTTTAGTTGCCTCATCGACGACTAAAAGACATGGACTGGTATGTGCTTCTAGAACATCTTGGCTTTAGGCAACCACACACGAGCACATATAGAGATAGCAACACTGGAAACCTCAGTGGGTTTCGAACCCACTCGTGGACACCAGCTACGGCTTCTGTGTACAGCCTGCACTCTGACAGGTGACCTAAGAGGTCACATCAGGTTTATCACATTTGTCAGGCCCACGGAACTTCTTTGATATGCGCTTTCACTCTGTGTGTGATTTCTTATGTCTATTGATCAAGCGGTGCACATGACTATTCCAGCTGGCCGTGGTTGGCTACCACAAAGCAGTAATAGCAATAACTAACTCCGACTTCCTCTTTGTTGAATAGACAATAGTGGGAATGTTTTCGGAATGGGCGAGTGACTATTTCATCGTAGGGCTGAGATGGGACCAGAGAAAGAGAGGGAGAAGTTAATTGGCGGTGGTGAAAAAGTGATTACGTTTAGTTGCTTTCAATACCGTTTTGCCCCTCTGAGCTATGATCGTCAGAAACCACTTTGTTATTGTTGTTGTTGTTCTTCTTTCTTAGTGCTTGGAATTTTCCGGTTTGCGATCAATGAAACCGCATTGAACAAACCGCACGGCACATAAAATTGAGAGCTCACAAATACAATACTAAATTGTTCCCTCACTCCCTCTGAGCAGCACAAGTAATCAGCATCTCCATCTTATAATTTTCGATATGAGGAAAATATCAATGTGGAGAACTCGCTCTGATCATTCGCAATTTCATGACGAGGTATTTTCTGCTTGACTGAGGTAAACGTACTGAATTTTATTTCAAACATTTCGATGAATGGTCAGTTATGCTTTTGACATTTGTTTTCGGGAAGCCAACGCAGTCGGATAACATACCAGGGCTGTCTCAGCGCCACCGATAAATCCGATTCCCAAGGCGTGACCCGGTTCTACCTCGAGTTCAATCACTGTGTCTGCACCGGGTAGGATTGGTCTGGTTGCGGCCGGTTCCGCCGGCTGTGGCGGAGGACGCGGTTCTTGCACTGCAATCGTGAGGCTTTTCACGGTTGTAACACTGCTTCTCTTGGACGCGGCAGCAAGTGCTCCGCCGATATCCACCGAGAGGTGTGCAAGGGAAGGAGGTTCGTTGGAGTTAGTATGCCAAGATTGGAGATTTGGTGAGCTGGCGCGTCTTATTTGCGAGGATAGGTTGTTCGGATTTAGGCGTGTTATCCTGGGGCCATCTGTAAAAGGCAGTAAAATAATTACGCATTTTGCTTTAATTTTAATCGTGGCCTGGGATGATGCAGTATCGAAAATATTGTTTACCCATTGCGAAGGGGGATAGCTAGCGGTGATGCGTGGGGTCACGTCTACACTCAGGAGGACGACAAACCCTATAGTGATGTGTTTGTTTGTGTGTGTGCGAGTGCGCGCGTGTGTTTGGATTTTTTTCTCATAGTGATTTGTGATCTTTGATCCGGTAAAAACACTAAACAAAATCAACCGAAATAACAGAATTAGAATGATACCAGATCACTGGCTATGAGAAGCCCGGGGATATTATATGAGGCACGCAAGAAGTAGGATTAATTCCCTAAACAATTGGTCTAATTGCTGAATAATAACAAGAAACACGTCAAACCACTATTCGATAAAATGAGATGGGGTACACGAAACGTACATAGATCGATGAAAATGAAGCTTACAAATTTCACCGGATCGCGGGATCTCCAGTTACTTATTATATGTACCTCTGTTCACTTAACTTCATGGAATCAAATTGGCAAGTACGCATGTTTCATTGAATCATCCGACAACTGGTTGTTTAGAGAAAGCTCGACCAGTGGCTGTGTTCTGAGAAGTATCGTGATAAATTCGGATAAAACGCTTACCTAAAGCGCTGCAAGTAACTTTCTGTACTCTAGTATCAAGACCCAGCTCCTAATTCACAGTGGACACCATCGAGACCAAATGAATGGGTTTCTTGAGAGAAATGTTCACAAAACGGCTAGAGATACTGTTGGAACAAAAAAGCATAAACTGTTCCCTACGGAACTATTTTTGGAGTAGTTTCTCCTTCACTTTCGAAGCAAATACTATTTCGAATAATAATAAATAAACTTCCTCTAGTAATTCATTTTATCAGAAACGAATATTTTATCACATTACGTTACGGTTTCCGGGTTACATATAACTTATTTTCCACCTTCCTTTACTAAGGGCATACATTTTACACACAACTGCGGTGCACTGCTGAGCAGTCCTTGTGCAGGTGAATTGCACTTCGGACCAGAAAGTTTTCTCTGACTTGACTCATTTCTTTATTATTCTTTGATGACACCTTGTTGGACTGAGTTGCGCATCTTTCATGAGCGGAAAGTTCTTTGATTTCAACTACCCTTGCTGTTGGCTTATTTCTTCATAATCATGGCAAGTGGCGAACAATTAGTTGTTCTATCATCTGCGGCCTTTCATTGGCTGTCCCATCAAAAGCAATGGGTACTCACAAGTTCAAATGCAGTGGACCTCGCTTCACAACCATTTACAGAGTGAACTTGCAAGGGCTTCCACCGCAGGTGTCCAAATCTATGGTAAACAATTGAATGTGTACATGCACACGCATGGCATTCGAGGAGCTCCTAAACGTGCGCTGAGATTGTTTGTCAAATGATTCCAAAGGTCTGTCATACTCTCACATGCTTAACCATGTGCATCACCTAACATACGATACAACCGGAGGCCCTATTAGCTGCTGTTAGTATAATATCAAGGGGCGCTTTTGCTGATGTATAGTTGCAGGTACCAATGGTCATATTCGCTCGCATGTGGTGATGATTGTAGTAAAACGTAACACAAAATATTTCTTGTATTTCTGTCGAATGTAAACCACTTTTTCTCCTGCGTCACACTTCGATCATCTTTTCAAACCTATACATCACTCCTAACTGTACTCCTAGTGAGTCGTCTACCTTCCTGGATGTATTTTATCCAATCATGTTGGAGAAATCGGTCACATCTTTATTCATCATTGCTGGCGATTTCAAAAGATCTGGAGTGAGTTTTTACACAATAGAATCAGGTTTGTTTTAGCCACAACGTGAGTACCAAAACACAAGATGCTCACGTTGTGGCTAAAACAAACCTGATTCTATTGTTACCATGAGCACAACGCCCAAATTTTTCGAAATGATCCGGAACATCTATGGATTATTAACCGAGTTTTTACACACTTACGCCCCTTCAGAATATTGTTACTTTTCCACTTAAAATGATGCCTCCTTGGACCACTTCTTCGTTAACGAAACATTTTTTCCCGTGCCTTCAAATGTGCACCAGTAGGCAATTGCGTTCACTGTCTGATTAAAGTTTTACCTACAATATATGGTAAATGCAAGCAACAAATCCTAATGAAGGAAGATGCACGTTTACGACAAAATCATTTGACCAATTTGATGGAGTTGAAATCCATGATTGGCCGTACGGACTTATAACAACTCTTCAGTCCAGGTATTTCAGTCTTCTGTGAGAACCTTACCAATTACCTCAACTATGTGTGCTACCCTCAGGAAAGGATGCGTCTACAGCCCAGCCGATTCATCTCCAATGGACTGAAATAGTGACAAAATATTGAAAATCGGTTTTCGTAGCTCGGGTGAACTGAATTCCATTTTGCCTGTTCGCCGAGCTTGAAATAGTTACCAAGGCTGAAAGAAAGGGCGCATCGCTCGAGAAATAAACTGAGGCTCAGATCTGTCAACTTTCACATCAGAAGCGAGATAGCACATCTCCATCAATTGTATGCTGACACCGCGCTCGGAGACAAATCCTGCCGTCAGCTTTGGAACGGACTGAAGTTGCTCTGTGATCGTTCAACTTTACCTACTACAGTCTCATGTGATATCAATGAGCTCAACAAATCATTTGCTTCAGTGAAAAACGTTAAGCAAGCTTTGCCGAGTTCAAACACAACGTCACTTGATTTCCACCTTCCTGTGTTTATCAAAACAGAGCAAGTTTTAAAGGAGTTTAGTATTGTCAATAGAAATAAATCCGCTGGTCCTGATGAGTTATCCCCAGTGGTCCTTAAAACATATGCGAACCACCTCGCATAAACCGTTTAATTTATTCACTGAAAATTCCCATCGTGACATTGACAGAACTACAGGAGTGGCGAACAAGCTCGTTTTCGATTTGCACGTTTATTAACTAAATGTATACAACTGTATTTGCCAGAGGATGAAGTTATCGAAAACGAGCTTGGTCTCTACTCGTGCCGTTTCGTTTATCTTTAATACATATCTGTCAGTAGGAAGTTTAGTTAACACGACATGATGTTCGCATCACTGCAGTACCTGAGAAAGAAAAGGGTAAGGTTCGGTCTATTGCCTCATCTTCAGTATTACTTAAGACTTTTGAGGATATAATTATGAACCATCTCTAATCTT